TCAATCAATCAATCTATCTATCTATCTATCAATCAACCAATCAATCTGTCGATCAATCAACCATCAAATCATTCATCAAATCAATCAATCAATCAATCGATAGTCTTGTAAACATTCATCATTCCATTCATGTATTTATTTATWTATTTTATTTTTCTCGGGATATTTTTCTCAGGCGTTCGTCAACCCAAAGCGAGTGCCGAGAGGCTCCTTGTCAAAGCTCCCGTCACCAAGCAAAACTCGACTGAAAAGGCAGTCCACAGGTAACCCAACAATCTAATGAAGTCACAGATCTATGTAATAGAAAGGGGTGACCTACGTAGCACGCAGTTGATGTAATGTATTCATAAAATGTATTGTATTCCATTGTTTCTCGTTCTATTGTATTATGTGTTTTGTATTATATCTTTATGAATATATTACATCAACTGAGTGCTACGTAGATTCTCCCGTAATAGAAATGAGTACATAACAACCGGATGTACTGTACTTGCTCCCAGTCTCTGCCGAACACAGGAAGCCCATCRCATTAAAAATAGCTATTACTACCTTTCAGCGATAACCAGCAATTTCTCAAAGAAATTTTACGTAACGTAATGCGAGGAGACGGCGTTGGATGGCTTACGTCTAAACGTCTACGTCGCCTAATGAGCGAGGAGCAGTATCGAACGATGGTTGCTAACCARCTCTACAACGCCCCCATAGCAACGGAGGATGAAGGAGAAATGATTGACGACGTGGTGAGTGTGGTGTTTCCCCTGGGGAGGATGGTAGGGATATCCCGTGAGGGGGAGGAAGGTCTTACATTGTCGATTGGTTTGTTATTGTGGGAGCTTTCTTAAAGGACCGTGGTCAACCGGCATCCCTTGCGAGCTTTTGTTTATGTTTAAAATGCATTGTAATATAAGCAGAAACTTACTCCCCCATTATTGAATTTTGAGACGATCTAATGGACTATACGCTACGGTTACGATAACGGTATTGTACGTACATGTACGTAAGTGGTTTCTCTATAAAGGAACATTACTTAAAGTACGTRGGCTGTGGAATGGAATGAAAGTAAGATTTTTCATTAAGCTCTTAATACTAATATGTTATGTTATCTCTCTGGTATTTTTCTGTCATAAATGCTTTACTAAAAGCTGGTAAAATCATTTCATATTCTCTTCGTTTTCATCTTTGTCTTTGAAATATTACCYAATTTGGGCTTCCTGTGCTTTAAAACGCATTTGCTACCGAAAGGTACTGTGGTATTGAAAGTATAAAACAACACAGGGAGCCCAAAGTGTCACTAACATTYTAATGTCACATCTTTGTCTTTCTGTAGAAGCTTTCTTATGACCAGACCATCTCGTTAAGCGCCAATCTAAGCAATAATGCTAAAGTWCTGGAGTCYTATCAACAGTCCGTTGTTAGTATCTAAYATCACTCTAATTTCTTCTAATTTCATACTTGTTTGGGGTTGCTGTGGATGTGTGTGGACGAGAAGAACTGGGGTTCGTTTAAAATGTACAATTTCAAAGCTAGATGTAGTGGACAGGGGAGGTCTATAAGATATTTTCATGAATTGTTTTGGACTACTTTTTAAAATTGGATCTTCTGGGTCGCGCGTTTGTAGGGTGCGGAGAGGTGATGACTTTATCCGCCCTTTATAAAGTACAAACGGTCTCTACAACAACGTAGTTGATCTGGGTGTAATGAATAATGCAACTGCTTTATTGCGGAATAATTCTAAATTAAGTATTTCATTAAGAAAGTCTGAAGTTTTATCATCCTGCCTGGAGGTATTGTGGGATACCTATTGTTCCGAATTGTCAATCGATTTGCGCGTCTGTTATCTTGTATTTCCATCGATCAATTGTATCMCAGGATACCTCACGGCAGAACAATTAAGATTTAGGCTTTATTGATGATAATCAACAGTATCAACATATGCTTTAAATGTAACATACATGTTTAGCATTCTTGAAACCCACGCTTTTGCTTTTGGGCGTCGTCAAGCCTTCGCACAGTTTAACAGCGTAGCCCAATATGGTATACGGGCCAATAATTATTAAATCAAGATAGAAATGAAGTGAGTTGATTATTACTCTCATGGATATCTAGTTTTATCCAGACAAACGCGGCCATATTGAGCTATGTTTTTACACTGTTGATAAGGAAAAGAAGCTAAAAAATATCAGTACATAATTCCCAAGGAATCACACARCRTCTGGACCTATTCAAGCAACTGTGTATRGGAACCATTTTTCTCATTTTCTATTCTCTTTTTCTATTTCTTACTATCATTTGTTCACCATACTAAATGCACAATCYTTTCACTGCCCCAGCCTACCCTTCAGTGGAATCTGTCATCTCTTTCTCTTGGTACTTGGCTCTCGTCCTCTCAAACCTCTGCTGTTCCTCTAGGGACTGGGCCAGAGTTGACCCAGCCTCCTACTCCGGGCGTTGCTAAGGTACTGTAGGTTATAAGTGGTGGACTTGAAACATTCTCATCGTTCTAAAGCTGGAGATTATTACTGAACTAGAAACAAGTGTGGTCTCTCTTTCTGTTTGTATTGTATAGTTTGTATAGTATGCCTCTGTTGACTGTATATTCGCTGTGTTTCTGTTGGGCTGCCTGTTCGTTTATCTACTTGGAATGTGTGGTCTGTCTGTTTGTACTTTGTATTTGTTTGTATGTCTTATAGTATGTTTCTGTTGGACTGTTTATTCGCCTGTGTTTCTGTTGGGCTGCCTGTTCGTTTGTCTTTTTGTATGTGCGGTCTGTCTGTCTGTATTGTATGTTGGTCTCTATGTCTTAAAATATGTCTCTATGGGCTGTTTATTCGCCTGTGTTTCTATTGGTCTGTTTTGTTAATTTGTCTGTCTGGTAAACTGTCTTTGGTCCGTCTTTCTGTCTGTCCTGGTCTGTTTGTATTTCTGTCTGTCTGTCATTTCGTCTGTCAATCAAGTCTGTCTGTCTATAACTAATCTATCTGCATGCTGCCACTTTACTTTTACTTTGGTGATGGGTATTATGTTTCTGACAGTGGGTTAACAGGCAACTTTCATTGGTGCCTTATCGGTTTATTTTTAGTGATTATTAATATGTGTAACACATTTATATTACGACGTTTCAAAGTCATCTTGACTTCATTTTCAAGTATTTTTAATGGATTCAATTCTGTAAAACAACGTAAAACAACGTTATATAAGTACAGAATTAAATCCATTAAAGATACTCGGAAATGAAGTCAAGATGACTTCGAAACGTCGTAATATAAATGTGTTATTCTTTACTCTGAGCACTGAATCACAAAATCTTTACTAATAACATAATGGGGTTTTATTTATTAACTACGATCTCTTTATGTTTAGTTCAAAATATGAGTAAAGTTACCTCTTACTTTTTGCACATATTTAAATCAATATAACATTCTAATATCTGCCAGAGCAATGATACTGGCTAATATAACATTTAAGTCGCATAAAAATTAATATTAAGTTATCATTAAGATACTTATATACGTTTTTTGTTTGTTTATTGTTTGTAATGTCTGTGAATCGAACGATGGTCTTCGTCACATTTCTCTCCGGCATCTTGAAAGGTAGCTGTGTCTTTGCATCTAAGCGGGACAACCGTTGAGGGTGCAATGATAGATTCCGGTGAATAATTGTGTCGCGAAAGGTGTATTTCATTCGACGTCTTTGACGTAAAGGCCCGGTTAACTTTCAAGATTGCGTTTGGATTGTTTTAGACCTCATCATCATCATCATCATCATCATCATCATCATCATCATCATCATCATCATCATCATCATCATCATCATCATCATCATCATCATTGTCATCATTATCGTCATCATCATTTTCATCATCTTTATTTTCATCATTATCATCATCATCATTTTCATCATCATCATTTTCATCATCGTCATTTTCATCATCATCCTAATTACCAATACTTTTCAATTTCCACAGCGGATTTCTCGTAATGTCTTCAAGGGAATGCTTGAACTCATGCGACTAATGATCTCAGGGTACGAGACAACTGTCACTAATCACGGCATTGGGGGCGTGGCCTCGGCGTTTAAGTTCCTAGAAATCGCCCATACTCATTACTTCGGYCGTGATATCAAAGAAGAAGCGACAAAACGACGGAGCGACGACGAGTTATCGATTGGTTCGATGACTGGAAGTGTTTCAAGCTTGACTGAGCCGACGAGCGAAGCCTCYACAGCATCATGGGTACGRGAGCACGTTCGCTCTCCTGACTTTGGTACGTAAAACACATCAATATTCCAGAAACCATAATTTTTTTATTATATCATTAATAAAGTATTAATTACCGATAACTGTCTTGTCCAATCAGAATTTTTAGTAGAAATAATAATAAAAAAACATCTTCTCTATTTTTCCAGACAAGAAATCAAGGCTCAATGGCGAGAGTGACCTTGACAGCGGTCACGGSGGGAGTGAATTCGACGCGATWATGTTACCTGTCACGCAACATGACAGAGTCAAGAAAACAGCTTCCCTTCCTCGATGGAACAGYGAYGTTACAAGTACGTCTATGCARAAGGCGAGGTATTGGTCACGTGGCGGCACGAAGCTCACCCGAACGTATTCCGTCGACCAACCAATGAGAAAAGCCTACAGAAGGGAAGCCGAGTTGAGGAAGGAACGATCGAAAAGTCCGACCCTTGCACACATGAAGTTGAGTGAGAGTGGGTCTAGAAGAACTTCTTTAGATCGTCTTAGTGTTTCATCAGTCAATATTCCACCAAGTCCCATGCTGAAGAAAAGTAACCTAAGTAAAGGATATCGGTGAGTGGATGATGGTGATAATGATGATGATAATGATGCTGATAACGATGATGATAACGATGATGATGATGATAATGATGATGATGATGATAACGATGATGATAATGATAATGATGATGATGGTGATAATGATGATGATAATGATGATGATAACGATGATGATGATGAAGATAGCGATGATGATAACGATGATTGATGATGATGATGATGATGATGATAGTGATAATGATAATGATAACGATGATGATAATGATGATGATAATGATGATGATAACGATGATGATGATGATAGCGATGATGATAACGATGATTAATGATGATGATGATAATAATGATGATGATCATAATGGTTATTTCGATGATTATGTATTTTGACAGTAATGATCACATCCTTTTTCCATTCGTAGCTACTTCAATGGCGATCTTATTCCAATCGATAACGAGACGGAAAAGCCGACAACCGGCCGAAGATACCTGTTCGAAAGTTTACGAAACGAACGGTCTCCGTTGTGGGACAACATGGACTTCTGGGAAAATATTTTCCTTGATTCTGTGACTGCTGAAAGAGAGGCTCTTGGGATGGCACAGGGAACCGTGGAGATGATYGCAAGGTATTGTTAGCGGTGAYATCATTCATTTATTCATTTTCTCMTTCATTCGAAYTCCATTTCSCATTTTTAGACACAAATCGCTTCAACAGCAGGAGCAAAAGCGACTCGAAGTGGATGAAGACCGTCTTCTGTCAACCGTTCTCTATAACCTCGTTGCTTTCATGATTTCAATGGACGTCGATAAGACTGCCATCAAGAAAAAAGTACGACGTCTGATTGGTAAATCACACATTGGATTACATCATGGGCAGCCAATCAACGACCTTCTTGACAATATACAGAACGTGGTAAGGATGTTGCGATTGTTCGTGGGGAGAGGGGGCAGGCTAATTGCCCACGAGAGAAGAGGAAATGACTTCTTTATGAAAAGAACGAGGGTCTTTCTGATCTAAAATAAGCGTGACGTCATAAAGAGAAAGGACCAATTTCATTTCATAGTTTTCGCTTCTTTACAAACTTCTCGCTTTCTTGTCGTAGAATGGTAATGATGTCGATCTGAAGCCGAGCGGAAGCCGACAGATGAAGAAGCAGTCGTTCGTGGTGCATTCTGGGAGTTCTATGAATGGTGACGTATTTTTTATGGAGGTAGGATGTCATCTTCTTTCAATTGTTGAAACTTTTGCAATCTTTGAAGAACTTCTTGTCCAGTTCTTTGAATGAAGTTGAAAGTCAAAGATATATTGTGAGAATTTGAAAAGTCAGCTTCAAAAACTTGCAACTTATCATATTACAAGCTTTTACTTCAAACTAGCATGCTTGTTCAAAGTCGATATTTCTACGTTATTATGAACTTTCATTATAGTTAAGTCTGTTTTTAAGGTTTCAGATGACTGCATTCTACTTCGAACTGGAGCTGGTATCATCGTTGAACGCTGGTGGTATGAAAAGATGGTAAACATAACTTACTCGTCCAAGACGAAGATTCTTTGCTTGTGGTACAGAAAGGGTGATGATACAGTCTTGAGCAAGTTTTGCACCAAAAAGGTAAGGTTCTTCCTTCCTCCCTGTCTCTCTCCATCCCTTCCTCCTACCCTCATCCCTTCATTCCTTTTGTCCTTCCTCCTTT